GTTTGAATAGAAATCTTATACAGTATTACAGTTTGTCGATATAAAATGGTAATTGTGAATAACAGATGCAAATGCGCTGTCAGAACTTATTTGCACAGCGCATTTTTTATTTTGGTCGCACATGCACACCTGCGTACAACTTATGTGAACCCCTGTATATATATATATTAGGTCTGTGCAATTAATCAAAATTCAGTTTCGATTTCGATTTCGGCCTCCAAAGATTATGAAAATACAGTAATCGAGATAAAATGATTATTGCGCCCCATTCCGCCCCCTTTCCAGCGTTGCTCTTTCGTTCCTCCATAAAAGCCCAATTTCACGCGCAAATCAGTAAAATCATGTAACGAGACTTTTGCAAAATGGGACGTGCTTGATTTAATGATATAAGGAGCCCATAAAAGCACATATGAAAGAAGAAAAAAATCACGATTTTGTAGTATGTGTACAGTGCAACAGCAAAGAGCTTTTTTACATTTTAGAGAAGCCAAGTTGCGATACCGAACAGGACCACATGGAGATGCCAAAAAAAACCTAAACCAACTGCCTGCTGACTGCATATCTACTACAGTACAAGGATCCATTCTGTATAACTAAACACAGCAACATAAACATGACAAATCAAAACATTATCGTGAATGTGTGTGGAAACAATGTGAATGTATGGAAATGTCTGTGCCTGTGCATAAATACAATGTGCGATCAGTGCGTCAAGAGCACTCATACACGCATTATTATAACAGACTCACGCGTGCTTACTGTACTGTACGACTCCTGTACGCCACCGCAATCGTCTTTACCTTGATTGCAGTCTTCATCCATCAAAACTTTACTAGTGAGACTGGTTATCCAGTCGAGAAACCGTAGTTTGCGTCTCATCTGGCCATACAGTGGTGGGATGTGTTGACAATCCGTTCAGTCTATACTTCACACAGCGCGACGTGTGAGGGATCACGCTCTTCAGAGACAATCACAGAATATGACAGAGCTCGTGTTTAAAAGCGAAACACACTGGAATGAATAATTCACTTAAAGCGCAACGCGAGTCTGTGTTCTCTCTGCAATATCTGATGTAATCAGCCTGGTTTCCTTTATATTAGCGCTGTTTTGGACGGATTGTTTCAATGCATTCGCTTACTGGATCATTGGAATGAAAACTTTCCCGGAGTTTAGCGGCTTAAAATAAACTGATCGCAAGAATGTGTGTGTGTGTGTGTGTGTGTTATATGTATGTTTTTATGCTCCACAAAAGAAAGAATGGCATATGGATTTAGAACAGCATGCTTGTGAGAATATGATGGCATATTTTTTTTATTTGTTTTCATTTTTAGGTGAACTACCACTTTAAATTAATCCTGTAAAATCCATAAAATAAAACCTGATTGACTAGCCACTGAAAACCTGCAGGTACATTGTGAAATTCCTTAATCCAAGTTTAAAGTTAAATAAAATGTATTTAATATGTTTAATAGTACTGACATTTATATAAATATTACTAGTATTTTTTCAGAGCCATTTGTTACTAGAGCTACTGTTACTTTTAAATGAATCTAAAAACAAGTGTTACATGTTGCTTGCGTGTGCTCTGCTGCTGTTTGCTGTTTGGTGTCATTTATTAAATTCCTGCACTTAGATCCACGTTTCTGTCTGACTTTTCTGCCTGATACATTGCAATAAGAACTGCTAAAGAAAACCTTTTTCTCATGATAAAAGTGACTGTTTGGTAACAGCGTGGTAAATTACTGCCAGAGGTTATCAATATTTACATATTCAGTGATAAGTACTGAGTTTGACGCATGAGGAAGTGAATGTATTTGCATATTGCGTGCCCTGTGCTGAAACATCCGTCAGCAAAGCAGCTCTTCTCATTGCACCAAACTATACACGCGTTGCTGCTGAAAGAACAGCAAATGGACACACCACTGCTTTGCTGTCATTATAATCTGAACGATGATTAAGACTATATTTGAAGAGTAATATAGTATGCAAAACTACAGGTGAAACTAACCACTCTTTTTGAGATTATTTGCATTTTACTTAAATAGCTGATTTTTAAGATGGAGTTTCAAGTAGCTGTGTATGTTTTAAATGCAGTGAAACTCTTGTCTCTACATTATACCTGACACATGAAACCCTGGTTTGATAAAAGGATCTAAATCTTCTTTAGCAGATTATTGTAGCAGATACACTATAATTTCACTTGCTGCTTCTTCCGCAAATGGTAATACAGTACACAGTACAGTACAGTACAGTTTCCTCATGGCAACATGTGGCACACTTTGTACTGCTGCAGAATTAACAACAAACTGTTTCAGGTTCATGATGCACTGCTATTGGGCAGACACCATATAAGTACTTACACCTGTCAAGTAACAAACTGTGTGTAATACACCCTGTAATTCATAGCAATAAAGGCAGTTAAAATCCACTCTCAGTGTTTGAAATTTCAGAATCTGTCAAACAGTTTGTCCAAATTGGTTTAGCTAGACAAAAGTAAAAATGCACATGAAACAGCACTGGGCTGTCTGTACTAGTCTCCAGTCGTCTATTCACAAAATAACTTCAGATTGTGATGTAGTTAAGGGATGATGGTAATTGCCTGTCAAGTCACGGGGCAGGATAATAAAGTCTCACACGTGCCAGGAAAAGTCTCTGGTCCTTTCCTCACACGATTCTGTAATTACAGTCTCCAGGACCACCAAGCAGTAGCAAAATGTAAACCTGATTAAACTTCCCCCGGTGTTACTTAACCTGTAAAAAAAAAAGCTACTTGTCACAATGCAGCTTCTGCATGAGGGGTTAAAGTGCCCCAATTATGGGTAATGAAAGGTTCATATTTTGGTTTTGGGAGTCCCCAACAACAGGTTGACATGCATGCAAGGTCAAAAAAACACTTTCATTGTCTTATAATATGCATTTATTTTTTACCAATTTGCTCAACGACTCCCAAACGATTCGATTTTCCAAACCCCTCCTTTGCATGACGCTAATCTGCTGTGATTGGTCCGATTGGTCTCATTTCTGTTTCATCATGCCTGTAATGCCTGATAAAGCAGCGTTTGTGAGCGCAGTGCTGCTTTGTGTACAGCATTACCGGGGAAACCGCTATTTTACCGCTCCAAAAGCGGCACCTAGTGGCAAAGACTGAATTTGTATTTTCATTCAGACCAAAGCAAAAAGACCAACAAGTGGGTGGGCAATATGCTAATGTTTCATGGTGACGTCTTTCGTTGACTGCTTGGGATTCGTTTTAAAAACGACTCGTTTCAATGATTCAGAGTAGACTCTTTCTTTTGAGAGACAGTAACTTTATACATGGTGCACTTTCAGATTTAAAACTTGCCAGGATGTTTTCATTCACTTAGAGCCGTGTTACACACTGCATGAAAGGTAATTTTCAAAAATCCATAATAGGGTCACTTTAATACCGCCAGGGTAGACCTGCAATTCACTGTGAGCTTTCTTGGACAATTCACTATAAGTATATAAGTCATTCTTACTATTGCTAAATTGGACCTCCTTGTACATCAGGGTTTCTGAATGCCACAAAATGAAAAACACTAACATGCCACATAAAAACACTCTTCAGTCACAGTAGATTCCTTTATAAGATTTAAAATGATAGAACCTTGACCTGTGAGACCTATGAGTATTTATCAATTGTATTAATTTTTACTACACTATTTACTATAGGGAGAGCCCAGCTGGGGCAATTTGGGCTTAATTAAAGGCACAACGGTGGTAGCCCTTGTGGCAACCAGTAAGTGTGTGCTATATCAGCATGGTGATTCAGCAGTAAGCATGACACCGCAGACCGAGTATCGTAATCACAGCCGTGCTGATATAGAGCCATATCACATGGCTATGAGTGTGATATTACGTTTTTATACAACAGCTCGACAACACAGTTATGTAAATAAATAAGAAACAACCACAGAGTGTCTCAAAAAATGTGTGCAGAACTACTTCTTTCAGCCCTTAGGGTTACCTAATTCAGAACACAAAAATGTATGTACAGTTTAATTCAAAAAAATAAAAAAAATAAAAAATAATAATGTCATAAAATTTTTATTTTAATGCCACTGGGCCAGGATACTGGCCCTCCAGGAGCAGGTTTGGACATCCCTGGCGTAGAATATTATGAGAGGGATCGACTGCGAGTATGATTAACTGCATCTGATAAAGCATTCGTTCTTCAGGTCAAACTCATATTCATAATAAAACATTAGTTTGAATGTCCAAGTGATATGTTTGTTGTAGTATCCTTTCAAAGGTTATGGGGATTCCCCGCTGGTCAATGCATTTGTTGGTTGGGTCTAAAAATATAAAGTTATGAAACTTTGCCCTCAGCCAAAACTATTTGCTCTGGAACAAACAATTGACTAATCAGAACAAAGACTGCCTGTTATACATATACCCAAAACTAATTCTATCTCATGTTTAACTACTATAGAGTCAAAATGGAAAATTCCAGAAGAACTGGCCGAGGTAAGGCTTGTTCTCGGCTTGGTACATGATTGTGCACACACACACACACACACACACACACACACTTACACACATATAGTTTTAACCTTCAAATGTCAAATATACAGGTGCATCTCAATAAATTAGAATGTCGTGGAAAAGTTCATTTATTTCAGTAATTCAATTCAAATTGTGAAACTCGTCAAAATGCACTTTGTGGCTTTTTTTATTTTTCCACTCTAAAAATACTGTATATTTTGTGTAAATGCTAAAAGTATAAATAAAATTAGAATAAATTATATATGTATAATGTATAAAGAGTACAGTTGCATACATATATTTAGAATGAAATTGTAAAAATATGTAAAAAAACAAAAAAAAACAAACAGGAAATACAGTGTTACTAAAACGTTTATGTAAATATGTTAAATGTTTTGTGAATATTCAAACATTTATATTAGTAATATACTGGGGATCAAATCTACATTCTTTTTGTTGCCATTCCAATTCTAAAACTTCCCAAACTTTCTTACCTTTGTGTACAATCTCTGCCACAGCCAGTTGATAGTCCTGGGGCTCCTGCTCGCTGGAGATTTGGAGACACTGATCTCCCTTCAGTGGAACCAGCTCTAGCAGAGGATCCAAGCTTTCTACTCCACACAAGAGAATCACCACACTGGTCTCTGGTCGCAATACACGAGCCAGAAAGAACCGCCGGAGCTGGCATAGCCCCTCCAGCATGCCACGCGACAGGATAAGCAGCTTACATTTGTATCCACCAAGTCGCAGGAAGTCATCCCGGCGACTGGTCACCAAAGCAATATCATAACAACAGATGCCAGCCTCAGGAATGGGGCCTACCAGATGGAAGTGCAGGTACGATGCCCACTGTTCAGCCTCTGCCTCATAGATGATCAGGAGATCTTCAGCTGAAAATGGTAAATTATCAATATTTCTCTAGTTTTGTTACATATGTAAAGAGAGTTTCATTTAAAGTCTAAGTTTATTGTTTACTTTGTAATTATGTAAAATATTCCATCATATTGTGATTTCTGTTCTAGTTAGTGGTGCACTATAGCCTAATTTTTCAAGACAAAACTTCGGTGCATAAATGACACAAGGATTGGCTCATTTAATTCAGGCAGCCAAGCACTCTGGAAGTATCACCCTAGCAGCTGTCTTGACAAACCCTAGCAACCGTATAGCAACATGTACAAGCCATATCTCAGCAACAAGCTTTGGGTGACATGGGTGTTGGCTCTATTGTAAACACTCAGAACAACCTAGCAACTGCCCAGTGCCAAGTGTTGCCATGGCAAGCACCACTTACATTTTGTTTTCCATTTCTTCCTCATTTTCTTACATTTCTTCTTCTGATTATTTTTTAAATCAAGTTTAAGTAAGTTATTTATATTTTATGTTTTTATAAAGGTCTTTAACTATTAGCTATTATGTACCTCACTTAGACATTTAAGATACAGTGAGATTCCACAGTTTTGATATAATAAAATTTAAAATGTAATCAACTTTTAAATTTCACTTACACGCAAATTGCACTTAGATTTGGGAATGCGTAGTGAAGGTGTTTAATTTTAACAATTTATAATTGGTTTCAGCTATATCAGAGTTTTAAATATCTTCAGTTAAAGCAAATGTCACATTTATTCTTTAGTTGTAAAGCATGTACCATCTGTACAAAACATCTTGTGAGTCAACACACATTTACAACATATTTTTAAAGTTTCAGTGGTAAATTAACTGAACAACTAAGTTAAAGTCTCAAACACAATAAAGAAACAAAGGTAAACTTACATGTATTACTCATCTCTCTGTCTCTGTACTGATGTGTGCTGCTATGTCCTATGACGGGGAGGGTGTTTGATCAAACAACAGCACTTTGTACACTCTGACCAATCTCTCCACGGTCTGCTAGTTTCCGTGTCATGGAGGCACCGGTGTCTGAATGGTGAAGATTTCCTTTTACATGCATATTTATTTAAATATGGGAAGTGAAGTTAATTATTTTAATGTGCAGTTTTTATGCTAATAAATAGACATTATATTTTAAAATGTTCAGTCTCCATATTTGAATATTTTATAGAGCTTTGAAAGAAAGTTTAATGATAGACGGAGGGAAGGAAAGAGAGAGAGAGAGGTTGGAGAGAGGGAGAGAGAGAGAGAGAGAGGGGGGGGGGGGGCTTGTGGGTTT